CCAAAATCCTTCAAACTTAAAAATAAGCCTCATCAATCGTGATATGAGCACCTTTCTTAATTATAAGCTCATATCTCCTCAACATGTATATACCCTTTTCTTATTTTATGTTTCATATATATTTCTACTATATTATTTTCCCCTTATATGTATACTTTTCACGTACACGCCAGATATGATTCGTCTTCTCCCATGCATTCTGTTCGTCGGCAATCGGCATCGCCGTTGTAGATCTTGATAGTTTTTGGCTGATCAGTTGGATACCCATAAGACTCATCTTTCTTTATACCACGTTTTGGTTTTTTCTATTATTACTTATCTCTGGTGATATCCACCCAAATCCAGGGCCAGGATTAAGTGTACTATATCTAAATGTTCGTAGTCTACTAGGGAAAAAACCCAATATCCTGGCTGAATTATCAGACCATGATATACTCACCTTTTCTGAGACATGGCTTAATGAATCTCACCAAGACCAAGATATTCTTTAAAACTTTAAATCTCCAGCGCTCTGTAATCGCTCATCTTGTGTAGGAGTTGGTGTAGCAATCTACGTGAAAAATAATATATTTTCTAAAGAACGACACGACCTTCGTCTTCCTCATTTAGAAGCAGTTTGGATTGAAGTAATTCATCGTAAAAAACGTTTATTGATAGGGTCCTTCTACGTTCCACCTAGATCTTCTGATAACTATTGGGAACTTGTTCAGGAAAGCATTTCTAAAGCAAAAGACGATTGTAAACCTCTGTTCATTCTAGGTGACTTTAATGAAAATTAGCTTCCTGGTAGATCAAATAAAATAACAAACATTATCCAACACTTCGGATTCACACAAACTGTAGCTGAACCAACACGTTGTACAGAGCACTCACCAACTCTTCTAGATGTTGCATTGGTAACCGACACTAATCTAGTTTCGGAGACCATTGTACATAAAGCTGGTATTAGTGATCACTGTCCGATAGAACTTGTATTAAATCTTCCTCGACCAGAAAATACAAGTTTCAAGCCTACCATATGGAATTATAATGAACTCGATGTAGATGCAGTCAATAACTTCCTTTCTGCAACAGACTGGGCGAAACTCTTTGAAAGCCACCAAGATCCAAATGTACTTGCGAAACGATTCTCTGAAGCTTCTAGAAGCAGTTGTCTTATTTGTTCCCCACAAGGATGTAGTAATCCGTGAGCGCGATACTGTGTGGATGAATGGCTACACCAGGCGGATAATTCGCAATAGGAACAGACTTCACAATAAAGCAAAGCAGACAGGTTCACCAAACCACTGGAAATATTTCCGCTCTTTTAGGAACTTTGTCATTGCAGAGGTCCGAAGAGTAAAACAGGACTTCTTTGACAATCTCGATGGTAAGATAAGTCTGGGCCATTTCCAAGAAAAAGATTGGTGGAAGCTTGTCGAAAACGTAGTCTTTAGGAATAGTTCATCAAAACATTTCCTCCACTCCTAATCAACAACCAAATTGTCCAAGAAGATGCTGTCAAAGCTGAATATCTAAACCAATTTTTCATCAACCAATCAACGCTACCTAATCCCACTCAACCATTTCCAAACTTACCTCAATCTGACCTCTGTATTCCACTTCCCGTTTATACTCCCCAAGATGTGAAAGCTATGCTTAATTCTCTGAAGACAAAAAAGGCCTGTAGAAAAGATAACATAACAAATAAGATTCTTAAATGTTGTAGTCCATCTATTACAATTCCTTTGTGTTCTCTCTTTAACTTCTTGCAGGACAAAGCTGCTTTCCCACCATATGGAAGCAAGCCAACATCATTCCAATATATAAGAAAGGTCATGCTAGCATCTGCTCAAATTATCGCCCGATTTCTCTCCTCGGCACTCTAGGAAAGGTATTTGAAAAATGCATCCATAAATATCTAAACAATTTTCTCCGACAACAGCAAATACTTTCTGTCTCACAATCAGTGTTTACAGAAAATGGCTCTTGCACATACCAGCTTATCAATATATACAACGATATATGCAGTAGCCTTGATGAAGGTCTCGAAACTAAAGCTGTATTTTTTGATATAAGCAAAGCTTTTGACCGCGTATGGCATGCAGGCCTCATTTACAAGCTCCAGTCAGTAGGCATAAGAGGTAAAATGCTTTTGCTTCTCAAAGATTATCTCTCTGAAAGGGCACAATCTGTGGTTATAAGAGGCTCAACCTCAAGCTCGTCATCTGTTCAAAATGGAGTCCAACAAGGGTCGGTGCTTGGACTACTTTTATTCTTGATATATATAAATGATATCACCAGTGACATCAAATCTAACATCCCTCTGTTTGCAGATGACACGTCACTGTTCATGGCCATAAATGACCCGGCAGAATGCCAAACCCTTCTAAACAATGACCTTAAAACCAACAGCAATTGGGCCAGCTCTTGGAATGTTGTCTTTTGCCCAGAAAAAACGGTCAGTATGACTTTCTCTTTCTCCTTCTTCATTTTTACTCTCTTTCGACAATAACGTATTAGAAGATTCTGAGCATCACAAGCACCTTGGTATTACATTCAGCCGGAATTGTAAATGGGATGAACACATTGTCAGCCTCATACGTAAAATCAGTAAGTCAGTAAATTGTTTTCGTTCTATGAAATATAGACTTTCCAGGAAATCTCTTGAATATATTTACAAATCTTATATCCTATCCCTGTTTGACTATGGTGATGTATTAAAAGATAACTGCACAGAAACAGACTCATGTCGACTAGAAAATCTTCATCTTGACTGCCTCAGATCAACAACCGGCTTAGTCTGTGGTACGTCACACTCGTTGCTTTATTCGGAATCAGGTTTCTGTTCACTTAAACAAAGACGGTATGAACATCGCCTTATTCTCTTTTATAAGATGATCCATAACATGGTTCCTCAGTACCTGAGCACACTTGTCCCACATCATATGGGATCTTCCTATGACTACAATACACGTCATGGCCACAAGCTACGAACACTTTTTGCTAGGTCTACCACCCGCTATCCGTGATTGGAACGCATTACCCGAAAACATATCTTCATTATGTAGTATAAAAGAATTCAAACTACTGATAAAATCCATTGCGTCTCCACCATCGTATTATTTCCTTGACAAAAGATCGGTCCAAATAGTGCACTGCAGACTCCGAAATAGAATGGGTGACCTGAACCTACACACGTTCTTAAGACACATTGGTGACTTCGCACCCTGTACATGTGGAGACCCCATTGAAGACTCGGGACATTTTTTGCTTTTCTGTCCGAAATATCAGGCCCAGAGAAGAGATACATTACTCACACTACCACAGCACCATCTAGATGAAAATACTCTATTGCATGGTTCAAATCACCTCAGTGAAGTTGAAAATGCACATATATTCCAAACAGTACATGATTTTATAAGACTATCAAATAGATTCGCTATTTAACCATATCGTATTTGCCCTTTAAGTGATATTTTAAAATCTTGATCTTTGTTATCTAATCTCAACCACATATATATATATATATATCACATTTGTAAATATCTCTTACCTACCTTTGTGGTGGATCTTGTATATCTCCCCTAGTTGTTCACATACTTTAGTTGCTGATCTTGCTTACTAACCCCACTGTTGATCTTGTATACCTACTAGTACTTACCTACTAGTAACCTTGAAGTATACATACATATACTTCTATAAATAATCTAATTGCTGATCTTGCTTCTTGCCCTAGATGCTGTCCTTGTAACTTACCATATTTGTGATCATTCATTACTTACCACAGCTGCTGACGTTATATACCCACAATATTTGTGGATGTCTCCGATTTACCCTAGAGGTGGATAGTGCTGCATACTGTAGTTGTTGATCTTTGTTACTTACCCCTACTGGTACTGTATACTTAGTAGTATTCCTATTCTATTTGCTGATATACTTACAGCAGTGGTGGATCTTGAAATTCTTATCCTAGTTACTGATTCTGTATATGTACCCTGTCTCCAATTGATTAGCCCGACTATCTTTGTCTGCAGCTTCGTGGGCGGACTAAATTCTTGGGGATGACGACCCCTGTCTGGTGTGGACACCTATGCACTTTCGCACGTTTTTATTTATATATTCAAACATATATAATTAATTGTTTTCTATTATCAAATTATTAAATATTGATAACCATTTATTTATTTACGAATATCATATTTTCTGTATTGTGTCTTTTCATTGTATTAGGTGCCGGATTAGCATAAGCTTCGGCTTGTTTCCGAAACCTTACTTATTTTCTTTAAAAAATTTCAATCAATATAGAAATAAAATATTGTTTAAACCAACCATCTGAATAAATAATTATCTCCTTAACTGAGTCGTTTATTCTGTTTTGTAGGTAATGATCCACACATGAAGCAAAAGAGCTTGCACAGAGGTCACCCTGGCTCTCATACCAAAAGTAGCACTGGACATCTTTGCTAACAATGTCGTAAATTGTAAAATTGTGGCATCCTAACTTTGTTTTATAGTAAAGAGCACTGGCATTGCACTGTAAAAACAACAATTGATGGATCATCTGTTGCTCGCTGTTTATCGCGATTCCTCTCAGCTCGTGCTTCCTCCTTTGCTTTGATATGTTGGATATAAACTGCTTCATCGAGGTTTTTAGCTTCGTAAGAACAACATGTGTCACATCTGTCTTTTTTTGGTGAAAACAGAGCCAAATTCAGGAGATTTAAAACCTCAAAACACCAAAAAAAACAGTTTTCGTCCACATAAAACCTTCCCATTGTCTAAACAATCTGACTTATACACCTTATATAATTCTGCCGAAGTACCAAACACGGGTTCGAGGTAATTTTTCGTACTGCTTGATCTACAATAGTGTGACGGTAGTTTTGGCAGATTTTGCAAAAAAGCTTTAGCACTACCTGATTTGATGGTATCGCCTGTAGAACGACGTTTGCCCGGTGATTTAGTTGGTATACCGGTATCATCTGTATTGGCTATCCATGCATAAACTGTCTTTTCTCCTAGACAGAAACAGACAGAAACAATGATTTGCAGACTTGTAATTTCTCATTATCTTTCTTCAAGAAATACTTATTTGAACCATTTTGTCTGTATTCTGCATCATCTTTGGCAACAGTTCTTTCCTTTACACTCTCTCTATCTACCAAACTATTCACAAAAATTTTCTTCTCTTTCCAGTCCATATTTTCCCATAATCCAGTACAAATTTTCTGTCGATCATCATCCGTTAAGTTACGACAACGATTTCTTTTATCGCACGTTTTGGTACATTTTCTTTCTTTTAGTTTTCTGCTACCTTTATCTGAACTGTAAGTAAAATGACCATCAATTTTCTTGACACCTTTATATGGTTTGCCTTCCATCCTTAAACGTTTATTGTGTTGTCTACTCCAATTTTGAGGACCCATTTTTGCGTTTTATCCGACCTACTGGTTCCGTTTGGTTATCACTTTGAGCGTCACTTTGAGCATCATCTTCCACTGGAACATGGTCCGAATCACGAACTTCGTCATCCAAGTCAATTTCTGGTGAATTAGGTCTAAAAGCATCTTCATCTGAACAACGGACAGTTGAACAATTATTCTTATTGGACTCTAATTTACAATTTTCTAAATCAATCAAATTTTCTAATAAATTATCAATGTCAATTTCTTCCGCGCAATCTTGTTCGCCAATTATACATTCTGACGTTAAATGCTTTATCAACATTTGGAATAACACCATGATTTTGTAGAATTTCAACTACTGGTGATATCGATCTTTGTGGTTTTTCAATAATCGGAAGGGAAGAGTGTTCGATGCTTTTGAATTGATCGCTTTGTGAAGGATTATAATTTTTAAAAGGTAATGCTGGAATTTTGCTGGAATTTTGCAGATTATGATCTACAGGAATTTGTGATACGTTTTTATCATCAGATGATGGAGTGGCATGAATATAATTAATGGGATGTAAGTCATGAGTTTGCGATGGTTGTTTTAATTCAGAGTCTTCAGACCGATTGCTTAATCTGGAAACAAAGAGGAAAGTATACAGTACCATAACTGATTTTTATCAAATGGCAAAAAGTCCTATCTTAAATAAATATCAATCCCCATAAAAATATCGTATCTCGTAATAAAATGAAGAATAATACCGATAGAGTTCTTTATTTTTATGATTATTGAATATTTAAAGTTAAGTATATTGATATAAATGTGATATTATCATTCGAATACACTTATTTGTATATATAAATACGACAACACTGATTTTATTAACTTTTGATAACAGTGACGAGTTCAAAGATATTTCGTGACTGTGCAGGTTATTGTAAGTCATGTTAGATACGTTTGAGGTCTCAAATGAATAAAAATGTATGGAAGTTTTATAGGAATACTTACTTCTTTAGTGTAAACAAATGTCTGTTGTCTGCTTAAAACATGTGGTCGAGTTACGAGGTTTTAACTGTAGTTTTTTAAGAAAATTAAAATTTCGAGTATTTGTCACATGCTAATATTATTAATTCTAATTGGACTAGAGTTGCGACGTTTTTACACAAGGTGTATTAACGGTATTAGATGTAAACAATAACATAAAATGATTTTGACCAAAATCGAGATACGAGGTTTTAGAAGCGCAACGACGCCCTGATGTTTGGAAACCAGATGTAAATATTGTTTTCGAATAAAATTGAAATAATCAAAAAATACAACACACGTTCTAAATAATTAGATGAAAACTAGTACAAACATTAAATGGGGGCGTTTATTGGCGTCACCCATGTTAGCCCGTCGGTCTGCTGGTCCGTCCGTCCACACTCGTAAACACTCTAGAAGGCACAATTCTTGAAAAATCGAAAAGTATTTAACATTTTTTTTTATTATTGCCCTTGTTCAATTACTAACATGTAAATGCTCTAAAAGGCATCATTTTTTAAGGATTTTGACGAAACTTGGTGTGAGTGTTGGATGAACCCTAATGAACCCTAATTCTAAAAGAATGTAATTTGTAACGACTGGACTCAAGGCCTAAAAATGTAATTAAACGTGTCAAAAGGACCCATAACGCGACCATGAGAAAGTTCATGGTTAATTTTTTTAAACAAAATATCTAAATTGTCCGAACAAGAATTGTGATTTTTTTAAATGGAAAATTTGCAATCGCCATTGTATGGAATGTGAAATCCGTGGGAAAACCCATCACATAGATACTGAGATTCATGAGGATCGTACCCTACTAAACATTGTCTCAGCCTACTTGGACTGACTGGAGTTGGAACTCGTTTTTGTGGGTGCACTGGTACGACGAAAGGAATACCGTGAAGCTACTGTCTGGGCTGGAATAGGAACTTGTCCTGCTTGGGAAAGATTGTTATTAGGGAGTTGAGGAGTCGGAATAGCTGAAGCAGCAGTCTGATTATCAGCTATCGCACGGGTACGGCGTGCATAACATTTTGTGACAGAGTGATTAAAGCCACAACGAGTGCATTCATGCAAAAACCTACAGTTTGGCCAACTACAACCTTGGGGTGAATTAAAATCGTAACAAGTACGACTACGCGGTTGAAGTCGATTAATGCGGTTTCCAGAAGAATTCATCTGAGTTTTATTTACTTGCGACATTTTTGTGCCATGGATAGTGGCTGCCTGGAGCCACAATTCTGGATGAATATGGTTACAAGGTAAGTGCTTGGACTGACGTAGCGATCTAAATTGCGAATCATAGTAATTAAAGGCATTATTGCCATAATTTTGTGCCATATCTGTATTAAAGATGAACAGGCCAAGAGTTTTGAAATTTCCATAGGGAATATTTGAACATAAACATCCATAAAAATATCAAAGACCTTGCGCCAGACTGAATAAGGTATTTGCTTTGCTTTTTGAGGAGTGGAAGACAGCTTTATGACAGAGTCGTCTGTATCTAAAAGGTCAATGGACAGGTGACTTTTTGAAGTACCTGGCAGCAGAGCAGACATATCAATAAAACGATTACTCCAAATATCTTGTTTCATTTTTTCCGCAACGTGAATGGAGATATGAACTCCATCATTTAAATTCGCATCAAAGGACAATACACTTGGACATGCAGTTATAGCTGTGGTTGGCACAGAATCGCTGGTAATGGAAGCAGTTACAAAGGTTGTAGCTGAACATACTAGCACGCTGGTGGAATCTGTAATGTCGTGATAGGGATGGTAGCAACAACTGAAGTTGTCGGGATAGCAGCAACTGAAGGTAATGGGCTATTCAACGTACTAGAAGATGGACCTGAAACCGTTGTATTAGCATCTGCACCTGAAGCTGAGGGTAACACTAGACGCCTTTTAATCAATTTGTCTATTAAGATGTTAGTAAGACGGTCTTCAGCTGTTGTTGGAATCAGGCCCACATCTTCCTCTGAAACATCCCTATTATGTGTTATTTTTGGCATACTGAAATGAAAGTAACAACAATATGTAAACTCACATAGTCACATAAGTTAAAACTAAGAGGCTTAACACCCTTGTAAGCACAACACAATCAAAACCACTGTTGATTCCCAAGTGACGTTCCACCAAGGAACCGACCAATTCAAACAGAATTGAGGAGCAGAAAGCCCTTTACTGGACACCCAAAGATCCAACGACCGCGAAATTATTGCTAATCAGAAGTAACAAAGGACAACCAAGTGCCCGTACCCAACAAACGGACAACCAAGTGCCCGTACCCAACACAATACAGGTGCCACGTGCGGGGACAAAAACATCTTAGCTTACAGCCAGCTACCAAAGTTAATATCTAGCCCAACGCTAAGAATACATACCTAGCAACTATACCAACACTAAGAATACGTACCTAGCAGCTATACCAACGACAGGAAAAACCGAAACCAAAACAACAGGAGACACCAAATCCCAAATTCTATAGATTCACTAATATTTCAACAAATCTGAAAGTTTTTCTAAAAGGAAACTTCAAAGTTAACTACGCATGCGTGATTCCCTGCGCATGCGTGAAACACAAAGGTGGCTGCTTTTTACAACCCAAAAATTATCATACAAAATACCAATTAATATGGGGCAAAATGGCATCCCGCACCGACTTTAAAAATAAGGGATAGCCGAGGGCATCCGATAAATGAACCCCATCTGAACTATAAGGGTCTGTAACTGGATTAAATAAACCCACTCGATGCTTCCAGAAATTCACAGAAGATTGATGTTGACACTCGACAGCGAGCAATAAATTCGTTTCCACAATTTTTGAGTTATACTCTGCAAACCGCACAGTTTTACATATTATAATATATTGCGGTCCCCAATGATGAAAAATTGCGTCAGTAAACGAAAACATCTCACGAACGAAGTCATGAGGGGTACAATGAACATCCGCCAAATCATTAGACCCCAAATGGAGGTAAACCAAATCGACCGCGGCAAACTTATCAAATGATGGATATACGGTCATGCGGGTCGGAGATGAGTCGCAATCCACCGTACCCATGAATTCTAATATAACATAAACCATGATTTAGTCCTAAATTTGGACTATTTACTTTTTCGAGAAATTTGTGTAGTCTTTTGACATACGAAGTTCCAAAAATAAAAACACGAACAGGTTCTCGTACTGGCACCGATGCCATAGACCAGTCAGGGTTTACACTATATAAGCACCTTGACGATTCGGCCATTTTGTCATGGAAAAAGTTACACAAACGTGAATTGAATATAGCCAATTACATCGGGAAACAAAGTAAAAGACGCAAGAAGATATAAGAAAACAAAACCCAACACTGTATTCTGCCAACAAGAATGTGAAAGTGGAAAAGATTACACGGAAACACGTTAAAAACAAACCAATTTCCAAAAGTATGGAAAAACAGTAAGTGTACCACTGACTGTGAACTTCTGGAATGACAAACCACGTGACATTCCAGACAGTCAGCTTCACAAAATTCATTATCTGCAATAATGTTTATTTTATTTAGGTATACAGTGCTGTAGAAATCAGACCTATTTTAACTCAAGATATGTGTGTTAAAATAATGACCATTAGATCGTTTGAGCTCTTAAATTGGTTACATCCACACCTTACGCTATTGAAATCGTATTCGTTTTAAAGAAGTATTCAATAACACCAATATTGATGTTTACTATATCTACCCAAATCTAAGTGTAAACATTTACACTTTTAAAAGTGTATACGTTTGGATAAAGTGTAAAATAAGCACCTCTTCGCCTTACCATCTAACACACCCGTATTAGTGTAAGGATACCCAGAATATAGTGCAAACTTGCACCAACATTGTGTAATAATTCAACTCTAAACGTGGTGTAAAATTACACCATTTTGGGTGGCAACTTAGTCTCCACTCAAAAAGGTGTAAACTCCTCATTATTAACTGTGTACCTGAAAATATTTCTAAAGTAAAATGGGTTAATAAAAAACGGAGAGTACTAATTGTTAATTAAACAGTTTGGCCTTGTTTTGGCTTTATAATGGCTCGCTATCATTAGTTGAAACTTTTAGAATACGTAGGAGACATATTTCTCCACAATTGGGCGTTTATTTTACTCAAATCCTTATACTGCTTTTCAAACAGCTCCCAAAAAGCATAACGAACTTAAAACCTTACGTAATGATTTTAAATATATTTGGCGTTTAAAAATTAACGGCTGGATTTCTTTTAGTTAAACCTTTCAGATCAACCGTGCATCAAGAAGAATTTGAAGAAAAAAAATGGTCAAGTATCGTATAAAGCGTTTGTACAACCAAGAATATGCGTAGAATATGTTATAGGTACAGTTTCCTTATCTGCGGCATTAATAGCCCAATTTCCGAAACTCAACTCCTCTGCCCAACTGTGAGTCACACACAGAACTAGATGAACTGGTACATTTGCAACAGGCTGGAATTGAGCAACATGCTTCTCTCTTTCATGAAGTCGTCCTTGGCTAGACATTATACCATAAGCACTATACTCTTTCCGTATTTCCGTTTGCCTTAATCACCGATATAAATCGGAATGTCACCGGTCATATTAAATCTTGTATCCAAAATAGCGCATATTTGTCCTTGCGTGTCCTTAGGAAATAGAGGAGATACATGGAGTCAGCAGAAGAAAACCAACTATTATAATTCATATTGTGTCATCTCTGTATCTTGTATTTTGTTGCGATAGGAAGGTCTATAAATACGATTATAGTTTTAATATTCTTTGTATACTACATGCATATTTTGTAATTTTACACTACTTATTATTTTTGATGGCGCACCATGCTTTTCTGAGATTTCTGAGCTTCATTCCAGAAGGTCACGTGATGACTTTATTTTGCAGTTAATCGTCTTGTCACATCAGCGTACGTTGCTACGTCATTGTTACATTTCTTCAGCATCCATCCTGTATTATCTATGGTGTAATTTGATTTTTGTAGAAATAAAGATTGTTAATATCACATCTATCACAGCCGAGTTGCTGTTTGCCAGATGAATTAACGACCACCCTATCTCATCGCATTGCAGATATACTTCTTGAGAAATCTTCTTTCTTTATTGTTTCTCACTTCTAATATCTTACTGATTTTCATCCAGTATTGTCCAAATCTGTCGATTATTTTATCTTGTACAGAGCTTAAAAAAGATAATTAGCAATTATCAGCTATCATCAAATATTTTTCGAAATTTTCAACGAGGTTTTATTATAGGATTCATCTGTTGGTGAAAACTAATACCACCGATTTTTTTAAAGGTTTATCCATGATTGAAACACCTACTTTCGTCCACATCTTGAACGAGTTTCTAAGGGCAAGAGCAATAACAATATCAAGTATTTGTGGATTTTTAATAAGAGTTATTATTTTGGTGTTCATATGTGGGGTGATGAAGCAATTTCATTTAAATCCCTCAAAAACAACAAAAAACAATGGGAAATATATCATATTTAAGGTTTTTCAATTTCACTTACATTACTTAGGATGCAACCTTCAATTATTTCACCAAATATTGTGCTGTGTCCTCAAGAAGTTAACAACGAACGAAGAATTGAATGATTTTGGAAATACAAGAAATACAATTTGTGTTAAAAATCAATCCTTGAAATTGATTCCTCAAACATCTGTTAAAGATTGTTGCATAGAACATGTGACTGAGTGGGAATAGGAGGATAGAAATATGTGTTTGGGAGCATGTGAATGATGTTTTTAAATGAAATGAATCAGAAACAAGTCGTAGTTTTCTGCAACAAAGGTCAATGAAGATGGACAACAATAAGATTGTTGGCAGTGAGAAACGATTTGCAGGAACAGCTTCATTAGCCTCTGCTTTTTTGATTTCCAACTTTTTAAAGCATTTCTAACGTGCACAGTCGAGAATCTTAGAAATAAATGTAGCTAAGACAATATATACGTAATACATTGTGATAAGAACATAAAAAGCATTAATTTCGATATCAGACGCTAAAAGCTTTGAAGTTATTAGCAATTTTTCATTCTGTCACATGCTTTTTCAAATTGAACTCGAACAGGCACAATCGAAGTTGGAAATCGTACAAGTATGTATTACTGGGTTTATGTACATTGAAATACGGTATCACGTGTCAAAGATACAGCGACGGAGCTGCAACTGAAATGAAACGTCTTTGTCGGTAAAAAGAACGTTGTAACAAGTGTAGCAGAAAACTTCACCTTATACGCAATCGAAGTAAATTGATTGCAATACCATAGAACTACAAGTTTCAATGGATTTTTTATTAAACTTGTTGTGAGCATTGATAAGTTGGCAGTCAAGTTCTAATTTGACGATTTTTCGATGAATGGTTTTGAGTTATTGCCCTTGACTTAGTAAAACCGCGTCAAAATGTTTTTGTGGGCACAATAAAAGCTACAAGTTTCAATGGATTTTTGATTAAACTTGATGTGAGCATTGGCATTGATAAGTTGGCGGTCAAGTTCGAATTTGACAAGTTTTCGAAGAAGGGTCTTCGAGTTTTTGCCCTTGACTAGGTAAAATCGCGTCAAAATGTTTTTGTGAGCACAATAGAATCTACAATTTTCAGTGGATTTTGATGAAACTTGGTGTGAGCATTGGAATTGTTAAGATGGCAGTCAAGTTCTAATTTGATTTTTCGATGAACAGTTCTGGAGTTATTGCCGTGCTTGTAAAAACCATAGAGCCTACAGTTAATATCCGATCTTGATGGAGCTTTGTATTATTGTATACATTGATAAGATCTTCATCAAGTTCGAATATGGCTCATTTTGAATTAACGGTTTTTGAGTTATTGCCCTTGATTTAATAGAAACACCAAATTTGGATTGTAAATATGATAGGGGCTAGAGTTTTTATCAGATCTTAATGAAATTTGGTATGCATGTATATATTGAAACAATCTGGATCATCCTTGATGAATGGTTTTTGAGTTTTTTCCCTTGATTTAGTAGAATGTGTCTAATTTAGCATTTAAACACAATTGGGGCTACAGATTTTATCTGATAGTAATGAATCTTGGTATGCATGTATGATAACATCACGGTCAAGTATGAATTTGGCTCATTTTGAAAGAAAGGTTTTTGAGTTATTGCCCTTGACTTAGTAAAAATTCATGAAATTTGACTTGTTAACATGATGGGGGCTACAGTTTTTATCGGATCTTGATGAAACTTGGTATGCAAGTATATATATATGAGATCTCATCCCCTGGGCCGGTTACTTCGGCGAGTATCCCAATGTGCAATACCAGAAGATAGCGGACAGTGCGATCAATACGAAATATTTTATTACGAAAGTTGCCTTCGGGTAAAAACTATCCACGAAGTTAAATGGATTCAAATGAGTAAGTATCAATTGTATTGCTGTGGTTAATCGCAATAATATAAGCTACTATCTAGGTCTAGGTTGAGCTCTGAATTGAATTTTGTCACTCATTTCATAATTTTCAAAATACATTTTTCAATTGTTTGTTATTTGTCTTAGAATGTTTTCGGGTCCATAGAAATAGATGGTTCAGTGATTTTACATCTGAAATAGAAACAATTACCCCCCAGAAAATTCACTTGAAAAAAACCCACATTTTGGACTGAAAATTCCCCTCTGTAAAATCATGTTTATAAACAATAACTTTTCCAGTGGTTGATATTTCCATCAACCCAAAGACAATCTAAAACTCCCAGGAGTATTTCGTCTTTGATATTTTGATTCATACAGAAATAATTGCCAAATGTCGATTCAGAAACCATTGTAGACAGAGAGTATTTTTTGCGGCCGTAGAATTGCGTACCGGAGTACCGGTACTGTCGACTCAACCCAACCATCGGGTAAGCGCGAAACCGATGTCCCAGTAAAATATGGAAGCGCGGCGCAAGTAATCGAAAAAAACATTTACTTGGCACAGGACCAAGAGTCCAATATTTGGAGTCCGTTATAAATGTAAATAGTCAGGGCCGATTGCCAGTACTATTACAGTGGATAATGGTACGCCGAGATCAAAGAGTGACGTCACATTTGTATTTTTATTATAGTGAGTTAAATTGCGATCGATTTGTCGCGGTTTGTGCAATCGATATTTTTTTCTTTCAAGCGCCCTTGCATGTTCTCGTGACGATTATTTTTTTTCGAATTTTACCTTTGATTGTTTTGAAGAAACAGAAACATACCACAGACTGTCTGTTGCTGTTTTCTATTCAAACTGGTGGACAAATATTTTTTAAAAGTAAAAGGAGCCGATTTTTTTCCATTTATCAGCACTAATACTGATCTGATTTTGCTCAAACTTCTTTGTGTATTTCTTCTCGTTAATGACAGCAATTAAAAAATCAAAAATTTTGACACTTGTCGATGACTTTTTTAGCTTTAATTTCTATATTGCGAACAAAAATCATATTGATATGTCAAACTTTTGTAAAACTCAAAATGGGGCCTTTTGAATTACGATTTTGCTTTTCTTTGATTTCCGGTTAAACTTTTTCGGTCAAGGACAAAACTTCTAAGCACCAAGGGCCCAATTTCATGTGTAGGAAAGTATAGGACATAACTTTCGTCCACCGGAAATGAAATAAAATGCATTAGCAACAGCACCAAAACGGGCTATAAAGCACCTAAACACGTTAGATTTAGATATATAGAATTAAAATAGCCCAAAATCAATAGACTGAAATTGGTAGTCGGGAGTCGGAATGTCCCGACCAGGCTTCCGTAAGATACACATATAAAATATCAAAGGAACATTTGAACCATTATACAGAGTTGAAAGAAAAATGACGGATTACAAAGTACTTAGACGTTTTACAAAGAATAGATTAAAAACTTTCAAAAAAAAAAACCAAAATATTGATTTCAAACAAAACTTTACCTCGTGTGACGATTTGTTTAAAAAACTGAAAACTTTTCTTTGTGATATGGAAATTCCTACAGAAATAAAAGAATATGAACATGGTTTGAAAAGTAATCCTGAGGAGGAAATTTTGGACATAACGAGATATGTATTGATTCAGTGTTTCAACAACATTCACGTGGTTTCTTCAATTCAATTTATAATTGGAAATTGTTATTGATTCAAATTTTATCTTGTCTGAAACCAACACTCATTGGTTGTCATTTACAGTCGCGTGTTGGTGTATAACGATCGATAGATTTGTTATAAATAGACGCGGTCTTTAAATTTCAACAGATGTGTTTAACTGATTACTCACCAACTTTTTATATACAAATATGCTTCAATAGAGCGGTCTTGTAGGGAGTTAAGGCTACGCGACCACGAGTTCGCCTCTCCGTCACTGGAGTCCATCAATACGTCGATGCTATCTTACAATTTTATACCTTGTTTTCAAGATGGGTTTCCTTATTTTTTAGTGTGAAATTAAGCAAACTATTTGATTAATTGGTGTTTTAATGAATTATCATGTATTCTTAATCATATCATTGTGTTCTTATTGAGTTTTAACCAATCATAAATGTCCATGTATGTACAGTCTGGATAAACTTGATTTAATTGCTTTTGATCTAACCAAAAATAAATTGATTTGATATGTGCATACGAAAGAGACTGCAGTTGTAAGCTGTATATTGTTGAGAAATTGGAGAATGCTTATATACCTACGATCTTCGATTTAAGTTCAATTAACGGTTTTGAGTTATTGACCTTTGCTTGGCGAAAACTGCGGCAAAATTTTCTTGTGAACACAGTTATCTCTTCCATCGATTATTGTTTTAACAATAATTTGGTTATAATTTAGTTCTCATTAAAGATTTTGTAAACTTTTTATGATTATTAGGGACACTGATTTGTACAATTTTCAGATCTGTGTCTTGCAAATCCATTTAAACGGGGCATTTTATGACTTCACTATCAGGAAGGTTCTTATATATTATTTACAGATTGTGACACAAAAAAACAAAAGATTTTAATTGGAATAATAAGAACCTCAGACGTCTTATTGAAAATTGGAATTGTGCAAATTGATCCTTTCAGTGTCCCCACTACACATGTGGAGTTTGCACAAATGACATGAAAAAATTTGTAGTCATAATTATAATGTTTTTTTTTCTAAAAAAAACCCCGTAAAATTTCAACACTTGCATTGTTGCTTGTGAATGCGTTAGACACTGTGTACATTAAGCATTTGGTATGTTACAAACCATATTGGAATGTGCTGTGATGATTCGAGATATTGCACTATTGTTTTAAAAACAGAAGAATAAAAGACATACTCGACACAAACTTCTGAAAAACTCAGAGAGTTAGTGAAAAAACACCCTCATCTTTACGATAATAGATCGCAATTACACCATGATGCGGATTTCATGTATAATAGCTGGAGCAGCATTGCCAGGATCATCGGAATCGAAGGAATAAGCTGTCTAGAAGTCCGTGAGTCAAAAGAAAGATAACGCATACGTTTAACGCACATATGGAATCATATTTGACGCATGAAGGATCCACAAGGGCCATTTATGTCCGCATGACGCATCCGCATGACGTGAATATGGAAATATTAGCTTAATTTATCCGTCAATCCGTCAACGAATCCGTCACTTTGTCATTGACGCCAGTCCGTCAGTCATCCCAGTGTACATTCCTTTGTTTTGGCGAAATGATTTAAGTACACTAACTGAATCAATGCTGGATTATTTTTTTCATTTTATATTGTAACAGTGTTCTTATGTGTTTCGTATTATGTAAGGTAGCATTAACGAAAGGCGGATATTTTTTTTCCATTTCAGGGCTACCTCATCCGTCACTTCGTCAATGAGTTCGCTACACCGTCAATGAGTTCACCACTCTGTCAATGAATCTGTCAATGGCGTCGATGAATCCGTCACTGACGTCAATGGTTTAACTATACCCGACTATATTTTGTTTTTGATCCATTCTTTGAATATTTTTATAAATTTTATTTTTTAGCATTAGCGATGTATGATGGACTAGAGGATTCATTGGCATCAGTCCGTCAATCCGTCAGCTCGTTAACACAGGGTTACTTCTGTCAGTCCTTCAATCATCCTCAGTGACGGAGTGGCTAACTCACTGACGGAGTGGCTGAATCATTGGTGTAGTGGCGAACTCACTGACGGAGTGGCGAACTCATTGGCGGAATGGCGAACTCATTGACGTAGTGGAGAACTCACTGACTTAGTGACAGGTGAAGTAGCCCTGGAAAGGAGAAGACATTTCATTGCTACCTTACAAAATTACAGAGCTCTTAAGTAAATTACAAAGCGAATGAATACGGAAATATCTCGGTACTAGTGTAACGGGCTTGACGAAACCATCGACTTACTGAGGGCCATCAGTGCCGATCTGATGCATTCTTTTGGTTTGGTGAAATCACTGAAATACATTGAATCCGTCAGAACGTCAATGGTTTGGCTAAACCCGACAATGTTATCAAAGTTATATATTTTATATATTTTAGTTTTTAGCATTAACATATTCTTTATATTGGATGTTCAACAGTGGGTGAAATTTAACGTGCGCAAACTAATAACACACTAAACATCTGGTTTGTTTTATTTCATGAACGTTCTCTTTGTCGATGTCTACACCCATCAAGATACTAATTTGTTTATTTTTAAAATGTATATTAGTGATTTCTATGAGTGTTCTTTAGTTCGAACGACGGCAAAACATTTTAAAACGACAAAGGCACTGACTTTTCGAGTGATATAATCAACGAATTAATTATTCTTTTTTTGTTTCGCGTGTATAAGATCCTTGATTTCGTAGCGCACCGTTGTATATCTGAACGAGCTTGATATGTGAACACTTCGCATGTTTTATTTCAGCTTCGATCTGTCAGGTTAAGTATCGTTCAAGCAAAATTCTTTCTATAAAACATCCCGCAAGCCTTTTTTACACCTTTTAGATAGGATTATCTTTTTTTATAAGGATTATCCCTGAATCGTACAATTTCATCAATCCAAGGTAAGGGTTGTGTTGTTTCCATACGCAACTATAAAACGTAATTGTGCACAGATTGCTCTGATGTGTTACAGAGTAAGCTTTTATTCAAACATTTGTTTTGCCAGTTATGCCCATAATCTAAAAGCTCTGTCTCATTTCAAAGAAGGTTCATTGCGATAATATTTTCTATATCTAAAATGAGCAAAAAAGCCATTCCTATAGATCCATGTATATATTATTAATTAATTTCAGATGGTTGCTTAAAATTCTTTAAAACATGTCAGAGCTTTTTTGTCTGAACACTGATTTGTTATTGTATGTAGGTGTGATATTCATATCTTCGTATTTTACAAAATAAATCTGTTCATTTCATATGTAAAATAACTAAACCTCCTGTTTCTATGACTCGCAGACATTTTATGGCAGATAATGATTTGAACTGTCATGTGAATATCTGTGTCAGAATAAACTCGGAGAGTAAAGCGTGGACGTGCAGAATGACCGAAAATTTTAGTTAAGAGGTCTTCAGGCGCTGCTCAATATAAAGGTCCACTTTTCACCAATACAAATCCATTTTATTTTACTGAAAAAATTTCACTAATACAAGACTTTGGTATTTCTTCCAAATCCCACTGTTACTGATAAAAGTCTATTTTTTACCCATCGGTAAAACTGGACCATTAATGTCGATGGATACAAGTATGGAAAGGCTTTTAAGCAGAGATGACAACAGCTTAATTGTTAAAAAAAAAACCACCGGATTAACAATGTACGCAGATTGCAATAAGATTACCTTCTTCTGATAACGTCTCGTTATAAATCATCTTAGGCCCTCACTTGGGATTACTCTCCATAATAATGATGTTTTCTAAATGCGTACTTTTGGAAGTTCCCGGTATAAAGTGAGTTACATGTTAGACAAAGGACGTCACATATTTTAACATGCTTCATACGATAAAATAATTAAGCACTATCTATCTTCATCAGATTCGGCAATAATAAATGTATCGTCATCAAATACTGAATCTTTATCCAAGGACTGTGATAATTTCCATAATTTTATATTTTTCTCTAATATGTCACTGTAACATGCATTAGATGACAGTTCATCACAGTTTAAAGGTACCGTTGCTATTAATGATACCGATCTTGTCCGTAATCTTTCTACATGTTTCAAGGATTTTATTGATGATATACTGTCGTCAAATTCACTTTCGGAACTCAAACCATCATCCGGAAAATCAAAATACTCTGGAATAAGAAAAAATATACATGTTTTAATTACTCAAATACTTTGCTTTCAGTACATTTTTTGATGTAACAAATTTAAATGAAAATTCAACAGAATCAACTTGAATCTTTAAAATGATGATATTATATGAAAAATGATCTTGATATAGCAATAATAAGAAGATTCGTCGGCCAATGCATGATATGGTTGCTACTAGTGAGTTTCTTTTAATTCTTACCGTCTGTACTAGAAGTTGACACGCCGCGATAATACCCTGTTTCGGCACAAAAATAAGGTTCGGATTGTTGTCTGACTAAAGGTGGTCTTCTGCCATTCATATAACCATTTGACAGATTCAACCCTCTGGAAGAACAGGAAACTGGCCGCCGAGGTGTACCTCCCCTTGTTTTACTCAACTTTCTTATGGTTTCGTGAATATGTATTAACTGTTTTAATAGCTGTAAATCTTGGTCTCGCATTAATGTCTGAAATTATAAACAATACAAATTACTTATATAATATTGGTTTTAATCGATAACTGAAAACAACAAAGTAGAAACTGAATATTCGTTCTGGCAGTGAACAAGATATGATAGGTTAATAAATTTAACATTGAAAACTGATATTTTATTGTATTGTAATTGTAGCCTATTACTAAAAAAGAGTTCTTATGATGACACATAAAGGTAATTGTGATAACAATAACGAGTTCTGATGATGGCTTTGAAAGGTAATGTATGACTTATAAAGATTTCTAATGATGGAATTTTGATACCAAGGAAAGATCTAGACACTTTATTACTAGAACTATAATCGACATTGAAGTAATGAAATAGTTGAAATTCACCCTTTCCATGGTTATTTTTGTGGTTTGTTCATTATCACATCAAATACTTTGGTGAAAAAGTGTTTACCTCCTAGGTTAAGTGTATTACTCCATGCAAGTCAAGTATAAGTATAGTAAACAATCATAAGGTAGGGTAACCTCTTCTGTAATAGTTTAAGTATTACAATATACAAACAAAATACTTGAGTTCATCAATAAACACCTCGTTGTATTGACATACTTTAGCACCAGTAAACTTGATAAGTGGACTTTCTGTCCAACTGAAATCTAAAGTAAACTTATAATATATCATATAATCCGTGACTTAATTTGTAATAGACTAGTTAAATACCATGTAAAATAAACATGGCAATACCCTTGTCAATAGTCAACATTGTATTCAGGTCAGCATTTACAACCCAAAGTTTTGTGACACCTTACCTGCGACGTGATAAATATGAGTAAAAGTGTCTCGGACAATTCACATAAACTATTACTGCGGTTACTAGAAATCACTTGACCTATTTATGAAAGGCTGAGTTTTCACTATGTATTCCATTGTAAGAGGCAAAACTGAAACAAATGTTCATGCGCACCATCATTAAACAATCAATCCCAAAGTACGGTTTTCTGGTTAGTATTTTAGTTACATTCTCTGGTGTCAAATTTTAACATTCTAGATCAACCATCTTTGCTTCGTTTAACTTGATCACCTTAACTCAGTGAGTCGTGTAACTGCTTACACTAATTGTGGCTAACTGCCTATCTTATCTTCCATATGCAACCAGCCACCTCACCTCACTAAGCTTTCTGGAAGCTCACGATGGTCATAATCATCATGTTCGCTTTAGGTGGCAGCGGTAGATCCATCTTCTTAAGTTACAGAAATACTTGCAGTTAGTTCCTCTACAGTCTACACCAATCCAATGCTTGTACGTTGCATGGGATGATTTTGTACATTTTCTGTAATACACGTAGTCTATGAACACCATAGAAGGACAAATGCAGTCACTCTGCCTCAAACAGTAAATTAAATGATGACAAAGGAAGGTTACAAAGATCGCCATCTTGGTTAAAGACCCAATGAGTCTTGGATTTGAATTTTTGATTTTGTGAATCATCCAAGAATCTCAGTCGTACTCGTACAGTTCAAACGTATGATATACGAAAGGTTTATTACGCCCTCTAAGGAAATATTAATTTTATAATACGCAGTTCAAGCCACAACCAAATCAAAGAACTAGTCTATCAGTGTATTAGTCTATCTATGTGTTATAAGATATAGTTAATGTAATTTATAATAAATATATAATTAATATAGATAATGAGTAATTTAACTATCATATTGCATGTTACTGTCGCACTTATTTTCATGGTTGAACATATATTTCAATATGAACAAAGACTTTACGGATAATTATTTCATTCGTTTATTATTTGAAGTAGTGTTCATTGTTCTCACTATACGAAAACTATACAGGATGACTTAGATCTACTGATGATTCTCTGTAGACATTGACGTTGGTTATCTGGATTTAATCTAAACGAATAGCTTTTAATTCTCCTAAATACTGCAAACTGCTTCCAGAGTCTGCGAGTCGCAGAACCTCTCGTAAGGCTTATGAATTAGGCTTCTCAAAATTATATAAGTGAGAGAATAAAAATATATGTAGGACTTATTGATTTCTCTTTTTATCTTTCTATAGGCCTATTTAACCAATCATTCTACTAGAATAAATTCAACAATAACAAGAGTGAAGACATTTGGTGAAATGACAGGTTTAACTACATTAATACTGATCTTTATCTATCATTATTAACCTATATGGATATTTACAACATGCATTCATCAATTTTAATAAATCATTTTAACATCAATAAGTCATTTTGTTGATAGTGGACAATATTGACCCCCAGGGCATTATTAAACCATTTAGGTTTGAGTTTTAGAGTCGGAATTGCCTTGTCGCTCGTGAGACAGGTCATACTCACTCTTCCACTAAATTCAATTAGTAGGCGATCGATTATCCATATCCATCTCATGAAGATAATAGTTAAACATTAAACATAATAGTTAAATGTTTTGCAAAATAATATACTACAGTCAGTTGTTGCAGTTGAAGGTCAAGAGGCTATTTGAAATATACACCGTGTACAATTATGCAATATACTATTCGTTATAGAAAATAACAGTTATCATTTATCAAAGAAAATAGGGGAAATGTTGTTTTCCGTTAGCAAAGCTGATTAACGTTTCTTTATTAGATTTGTTTCCTGCTAGCCGACTGAAACATATACACTTAATGTTATTATCTAAAAGATAATTAACTACAACTGAGACAGGAAATATTTCTGAAAAAGGGGAAATCTCCATATTTACAATGTTTTTTTAACAAAGATGACAAATCTAGACAGGACTATGAGTGTGGTTAAAAAGTTAAGTTGTGAATTAGTTGTTAACGGTTCGAGTAAATATTTGAAAATGAAGTTTACAAAATCTTTGACGATCCATGAAAGTTTTCAAGTTACACACGACAAACTCACAAAGCACATGCTAATAGTTTTTGTATACCGACTATGATAGAAAAATATGTTAATAAATCAGTTCATAGACCATGAATAAATCTTTCAACAATTATTTTATATTAAGTACACTGTATACTTATAATTAATTTTTAAGTTCAAACAGAATTTAAAGGGAGTTATCTGTATTTCTTGTTACATGTTTAATTAGGATTGAGGTCTGGTTAATGTTAACTATCATTCCGACATTCTATGTGAAATCTTTCAAATTATTTGTCAAGTTATGAAGAAATCTTCAATTTAACCTACTAACATTTCCTAATGAAATACCACTCACAGTATAACTATGTTAAAATGTTTAAATTGCAGTGGCATTTGAAGAAAGTGTGTGTTGAAATATCTAATATTCTAAATTAGAATTGCTATTGCTGTTCCAGGTAATGCAGACCGGGCTCTTGTCCAACTTTCTTGATGCAAAATGACTGTTTCGTCTGGTTTATAAAACATCTCCAGTACTCAACCTTCAGGATAGAAGTTAGATATTCAAGATGATAGAGAATTGAGAAACATGTAATGCTTTTGCTACGTTGTTCTAATTGTCTCGACGTGTAAGAATAAACTTTAATACCTACCAGTTCGTGTTTCAGGGTAGCTATTGCTGAATTGATTTTCTCACTACTCGATTTAAAATCCATAACTACATAGACATCTTGACTGGTTACATATTCCAAAAATAATCATTGTAGTTTAAAATAACATTATTGATTTTCCTTAAAACCTTGTACAAAAAGTTAAGTTATACTACTTATAGTCTATCTTATAATAAGATATATATAAGTCACACCTTGTATTATTGGTTAATTCAGTCCTATCCTATGTCCTATATTAATTAGACTACATCGTATATATCAATTATAAATCATATTACCCAGTATACATCTACACACTTCACAGTAATAATCGACAAGTGTAGACCCACTTTTATTCAACTTCATATTTCGTCTGCTCTACCTGGTCATGTGATACAAAATGTAAACATCATACTTTTCGACTGAATAAAATGTCGTGTTAGGTAGTAGTATCTCCGTATCCTATGGAAGCCGGCTGCGGCCATATTACAATTGACTTCTCGCCAACGAGAAGTAGAGAGACGACAAAGCGAGGAAAAAGGCGAGAAACGGAGGAAAAAGGCGAGAAATGGAGGAAAAGGCGAGAAAGCGAGGAAATAGGCGAGAAAGCGAGGACAATTTTCCTCGCTTTCTCCCCTTTTTACTCTCACTTTCTCGCCTCTTTCCTCGCCTTTTTTCTCGCCTTTTTCCCCAATTTCTCGCTTACCCGCCTTTTTCCTCGCCCTTTTTTCTCGCCTTTTTTCATTCATCTTTATCAGTGCACATTTTTTTTTCAAATTGTTAATTTAATTGAATAAATGAAAAATTAAAAAAAAAACAACATACGAAATATATTTTGAAAGAATGTTAATATTCCTTCAAAATTATGAGTTTTGCTGTTGTTCCATGCATACGGTATTTTGCATTTAAAATTTAAAATCGGTACCCATGTCGGTCGATCAGTTCACGTTATTGGTAATCGAATGAGAATCTAGCATTAAGACCATTTTTGTTTATTAAAGAATAAAAATTGTATATATATGTTTACGAAATGGGATGGGCAACAAAAAAATGCGTCTCCTTTTCTATTTTGAATCTATCCGATGTTTACCCCTTGTTCTTCATTTCATCAGATAACGACACGTGTATACCAGAATATATTCCATTGTGTTTTTGTTAAAAGCCTATTATGTAATATTTTTTTCTCGCCTTTTTCCTCGCTTTTTTTTACCCTTGCTTTCTTGCCTTTTTCCTCCCCTTTTTCCTCGCCCTTTTCCTCGCCTTTTTCCTCGCCCTTTTTCTATCTTTCTCGCCTTTTTCCTCGCCTTTTTCCTCGCTCTTTTCCTTGCCTTTTTCCTCGCCTTTCTCGCCCTTTTTCTCTATTTCTCGCCCGGCGAGGAAAGAGGCGAGAAAGTGAGAGGAAAAAGGCGAGAAACGGAGGAAAAAGGCGAGAAATGGAGGAAAAGGCGAGAAAGCGAGGAAATAGGCGAGAAAGCGAGGACAATTTTCCTCGCTTTCTCCCCTTTTTACTCTCACTTTCTCGCCTCTTTCCTCGCCTTTTTTCTCGCCTTTTTCCCCAATTTCTCGCTTACCCGCCTTGTTCCTCGCCCTTTTTTCTCGCCTCTTTTCATTCATCTTTATCAGTGCACATTTTTTTTTCAAATTGTTAATTTAATTGAATTAATGAAAAAATTCAAAAAAAACATACGATATATAATTCCATTGTGTTTTTGTTAAAAGCCTATTACGTAATATAACTATGATCCTTGTATTCGATGAAATAAGTATTCATTTATAATGAAATAATGAATATGCCTATCAACCAATTATAAATCTTAGGGAATATAGGCTATAATTTGGTACTAATGACAAAGTTACGAAAGCACAGGCACAGGACTTATAACTCGGTTTTCTTTTTTAAGTTCTTTCTAACAAGATAAATGTGTACAAATATTTTTACAAAAATTCGATTTTTAGTTTTCTGATTGATATGAAATTCACTCAACGGTGGCATTCCGCTTTTTTGTAGGTAAAAGAATCTTTTTTTCGCTCAAATTTGTGACAAAAAGATATACTAAAATCTAGAAAAATGTGTCTCTGAATAATGATATATGAAAGTTTTAACTTAAGAAATCCAGCCGTTAAACGCCAAAACTATTCTATAAGCTTATGACGTAGGCCTAGGCTACACATTACATAAACTTTGTAAGTTTGTATTGTTTTTGTTAATTGCAAGAAAACTACTGTACGGATTTAAGCAAATTGAACACTTTATTTTAGAGAAATATATGTCGCCTAATTTTTCTGAAGGTTCCAACTAAAATTATTAAGCCATTAAAAAGACAAACATCAAAACAGAATAAGGGCGAGGAAGCAAGGAAAAAGGCGAAGAAAAATGCGAGAAGAAAGGCGAAGAAAAAGACAATAAAGCGAGAGTAAAAAAGGCGAGAAGTCGAGAAAATTTTCCTCGTTTCCTCGCCCTTTTCCTCGTCTTTTTTTACCCTCGCATTTTTTTCTCGCCCTTTTCCTCGTTTTTTTTTACCCTCGCTTTCTCGCCTTTTTCTTCGCCTTTTTCCTCGCTTTCTTGTGGGCGAGAAGTCGAGAGTAGATATGGCCGCAGCCGGCTTCCATAGTATCCTCCATCACTGACCAATTAGTATACCTATATACTATATCGAAAAAACTAAATTCTGTCGGATTATTTTATAAAATATTATATTCAGACTGTGATGGATTTAGAAATGAAGGGAAAGAAGTAGAATTGTGCAAATATTCGTAAGTATACATTTTTAAGATGAGGTGTCGTGAATATTGTCTGGGCAAATTAAAAAATTGTAAAATTTTTTTTTCGATATTTCTTAAGAGAATTGGAATATTAGCCTCAAAATAGTAGGCCTACTGGTAGTCTTAGAATGTCTTTGCGTCGATAAAAACATTCTCAATTGTAAGTTTACATTGAAAAGAAACTTCACCCCAAAGAGTCAAACATTTTGGCTGAAAATGGGCCTCCGTTGAAGCAAATTTTGAAGAAATAATGTGTTCTTATGTTTATATTTTTATCAAAGCAAAGACTTACAACAATATTTTGAGGCTGCTATTCAAATTCTCATAAAAATAATAGAGAAAAATCAAAAGACTTTTACCTTTGCTCAGACAATAACTTAAGTGTAATACTTGTAGGCTACAACTAAATTATCAACAATCCTCGGCAATTTCCGTTTTGTTGAATCTGTCTCGGTAATAATGAAAGATTTTGTTGTGTATTCTGGGGAGTTAAGGTTGTAACTTTGTACTAATGACAAAGTTACGAAAGCACAGGCAAAGGACTCATAATCTTAAGTTCTTTAATTTGAATAAACAAAATGTGCGTTAAAAATTCAATGTTCCTAAATCCGGGTTCTGTCCCCTTAAACTGTACATAATCTGAAATTAGCAGAAAAGAAAATCCCCTGGTGATTGTGTCTTTAGAAGCAAAGGAATTATAAATGGCTCAAACCAACCTCTTTTGTGGATTTTCGGAAGTGTATAGGCCTACATGGCGTTGTCTTGGTACGGTATCGGGTTTCAGATAATCAATTATTTTTGGTTTAGAAAGTGTTTGTATACTAGAGTTTTAGAATCCCTGATATCATTGAAGCGGTTTCGTGATAAATTGAATTTGGAAGAATGGAGTAATGGTCAGTGTTTCACAATTGCGCTTCTGCCTCTTTGATATAATCCTGTCTATTTAAAATGACACAACAACTTTCCTTGTACATGAGATATTGGTCAAGTTCGAATTTGAAGATTTTTCGATGAAGAGTTATTGTCCTTCATAAACGGGTTCAAATTTGTTCGTGAACACTATAAAGACTACAATTTTCATCTGATTTTAATGAAATCTGATGTGATCATCTATTACAATGAGATCTTGGTTGAAGTTTGAATTTGACGATTTTCTAATGAATGGAATTTGAGATCTTGCCCTTGACTTAGTAAAAATGCACCAAATGCATGTTGGCAGTTTATGTCCAAAATTTATGAAATTTTGTGTGTTTGATTAAATCAACAATATCTTGTATAAATTGGATTTTTGTACGATTTGACACATTGGCGACCGCCTTTGATATATTGAAAATTTATCAGGCAAGTGGGCGTATCTTGCTAGACAACCACTTGTTTTATTAGTTTTAATTTTAAGTATAGCCACTTCACAGTAGGGTCTAACGACTGCAATCTTGAACATTCGTCAAATTAACCTTTTGACCTAATCTGCTTTAACCAATCAAATTTACGCCTACTCAGGTGTTGCCGTCTGTGACGCGATCAAAAGATGTATTTTCAGGATCAATAGACTTGTTTGAAAGCCTTTCGTTGTGGCAAAGGGAGGTAACTGAGTCTCAACCTACAGACGACAAATAGAGTCTAATTTGGCTACTTGTCAAAATCGATAGTGAGACTGAGTCTGCATGCTTTTTTGTCAGGGCGTCATTTTGGTCAATCGTTTTGTCATCGGCCTGTTAACATCAAATAAAGTTGTAGTCAACATCGCATAACTTCGTTTTTTATCGTGCAGTCGGGGGCGAAAGACGTGCAATTCTTGCGCATTCAGAAGCAATTAGAAATTCGAATCCAGTCAATTTCCAGGAATTTAAAAGTCTTGAAACATTTTGTGATAAATTAAATTTCGCAATAATAGCGCTCAAGGATACGGGGAGGGTCTAAGAATTTGATGGAAACTATGTTCCATTCTGTCACCAAGGCAGAACTAACGCCAGCAAGTGTTGCTAACTTAAAGCGTTGGGCCTCTACAGAGGCGAAAATGAAAACTTGACCAGTCTTTACCAGTGGCTTTCCCTAGAATTACGCTCTTTCGAATTGAAGCCAGGGACGAAGTAGAGGGTTTGAACGCTCAGTACGACAAACCCAAACATAATTTTAAGCCCCAGTACGATAAATACAGCCATAACTTTAAGCCCAAACGATGCTCCAGTTCTCCACGTACATTTGCTACAAGTCATGACGCAAAAACTGACAGCTGCCCTATGTGCCAAAAATTTCACGTACTAACACAATGTCGATTGTTTTGTTATCTACCAATCGGTCAAAGGTGGGAATACGCGAAAAGTCATTGCGATGTCTAAAGGACACACATGTAGGTTATAAATGTATGGAAACCGACGATGTGGTGTTGACAATAACCCGAAAACCCATCATGCCTTACTTCACGGAGGGGAATTTGCACCCACTGAAGACCCCGGTGATCCGAATAGACTCAATCTTAGATTCAGAGAGCAAGGAAACATGCTTGTAAAAATGGTGACTACGTTGCTATGCGAGCCGCACCAGTAGTTATTGAACATGCCCTACTTAACGAATACATTTGTGGACAAAGGATTAGCTGACGAATTGGGTTTAAACGGACCATTAAGTTCATTGGATGTTGGGGTATCAGGTGGAGAGACAACCTCGATTAACACCCAGCGAGTAAATTTGAATATTCGGAGTGTGAGTAATAGTAACAGATTTCAAATCGGCGCATTCACTGTTCGCAACGTGACTGGTGACTTAACTATGATTGATTGGAACAAATATTCTACAAACTGGCCACATTTGTCAGGCGTTGAATTCCCAACACGTGGTAAACAGCCTAAGGTTCGACTATTAATTGTCTTGAACTGTCCGGAGTTGCATCGTTAGATAAATGAAATCTACGGTAGGCCAGGCGAGCCATGTGCTAGACTAACACAATTAGGCTGGACATGCATTGGTCCATTTGAACCTTCCGAGGGTAGTAAGGCGGGAACAATTCATTTTGCTAGTGCTTTCTTTGTGCAAGACCATCGTGATACAAACCAGTTGATACGCCAAATGTGGGATCCTAAGCCCACTTGATGACAAGGTTAACAATTTCGCATGTTCGACTATTTCCTTTGAAAATGGTAGATATAGCATCGGAATTCCTTGGAAAGAGGGTGAACCTAACCCCAGTAACAATAATTATGACATGGCGAAATCACGTTTATTAACTTTATAAAAATCCTTGACAAGACAACCTGAAGTTAGAGACATGTATTGTAACATTTTAAACGATCATTTAGATCAGTTTTACGTCCGAGAAGTTTTTCTCCAAGAGAAGCATGTTAGTAATATTTGGTATTTGCCGCACTTTCCTGTTGTGAAGCTTGACAAGTCATCGACCAAAGTACGCTTGGTAATGGATGCCGCAGCGCGATACAAAGATACATCGCTCAATGACTGTACATTCACCGAGAATTACTTGATGTACTAATACGTTTCAGACATGGCATTGTTGCCATGGCCGCAGATGTGACAGAGTTTTTTCTCCATGTGGAAATGTTAGATCCAGATAAACGTTTCCACCAATTCGCGAATTCGAATACGAAAGGTTGGTATTTGGGAATACATCGTCTCCATTTCTTTCTCAGACTGTCATTCGGCAACACGTAACAAGTAATAGTGTGAACAACCCCTTAGGTATAAACTCCGTGTTGAATTCTATGTACGTGGACGAATTGTTGGACAGTGTAAATTCGGTCACCGCGGCAATAGTACTACGTCATGAGATCACAGATTTGTTGACAATTGCCGGCTTTCAGATTCGAATAATCCTAGAGTCTTGGAGGACATTCCTG